ACAGTGGAATCTAAACAAATGCTAAACTGGTGAACAAATGTGCATTCATTGCCAAAACCCCAGTTGGTTTGGACAACATTTTCCCCTGGTTCCCTCAGCAGAGCTGAATCCCTTGGCCTGCCCTCTCCCGCAGTGTAGAAAATCCCCCAGCGGAATAAAACAGTCTCACAATAAGCATTTTTAACAACCTACAACATTAATGGCCACCAAATGCCAGTATATTAACTTCCCTTCTCACAGATTTACTGGGGAGATATAAAATAAAACAATCTTTTTATGATCTCCCCAATTTGACATAATTTCTTTCTTTACCAGATAACTCCCTTTCAGCATTCAGTGACTGTGTTATTTAGGATATCAATTTGGTTGCTGTTACAAGCAGACATCTCTCAAAAGTGGCTTTTATTTGACCCCTTTCCCCCCTCATTTAAAAGTCTGGGCAGGTGCCCTAGCTGGTTTGGCTCAGTGGATAGAGCGTTGGCCTGCGGACTGAAGGGTCCCGTGTTTGATTCCAGTCAAGGGAACAGACCTTGGTTGCAGGCTCCTGGCCCTGGTCCAGGGCATGCTGAAGGCAACCAATTGATGTGTCTCTCTCATATCAGTGTTTCTCTCTGTCTCTCCCTCTCCCTTCCACTTCTCTAAAAATCAATGGAAAAATATCCTCTAGTGAGGATTTTTAAAAAAAGTCTGGGTAGTTGATTGTTGGCTGGTTGGGTGGCTCCACAATCATCTAGGAGCCAAGGTCCTTCTGTTCTATTGCTCTGCCATCATCAACAAGTGGCTCCCATTTTATAGTCCAATGTGGCTGCTCTAACTCCAGCCATCACATCTGCATTCCAGTCAGCAGGAAAGGGGGAAGAGCTGTTGGGCTCACTCCTTTCTCCCAAAGGAACTGCCCAGAAATTGCCTCCATTCACATCCTATTGACCTAATGATATGACCATGCTTAGCTGCATGGGAGAATGGGAAATGTAGACTTTATCTAAGCAGATAGACAAAGCCAAGCCAAATACTGTATTACTATGGTAGGAATGGAGAACCTGTACTGAGTGACAGCTATCAGTGTCGATCACATTCACCATGAAACTCTACATGTCATTCAATTTTGTGTGCATTGTGATTTCTCTTGTGAAACATTCCTTGTAAGCATGAATTGGTGTGACGATTATCAAGGGAAATTTGGAAATATCTATTGAACGCTAAAGTGTTACCCAGGAATTCTATTACCCATATTCTTTCTAGAGAAATGCATAAAGTAGTCTACAATGAGCATAGGCAAGATGTTCATTGAGCCTTATGTATAAGAGTAAAAGGATGGAAATAAATGGCAATCAAAGAGAAATGGCTAACTGATCTCCCATATCCATATTTGAAAGTACTTGAGAAGGAGGTGATTCATTATGTGTGGAAAATCTAGTTTGTAGAATGTCATAAATGGTATGAGTGACAGTGTTTACATATTTAAAAAAGAATACATGTGTATACACATACTTGTAAATACAGAACTGTATGGAACTTTTGTATATTAAAAAGTTCTGGAAAGATTTATATCTTAAAAAAGAAAACATATCCATATAAAACATGTATGTTAAAAGAAAACAACTATATATTTTAATATATAACATGTATAATACTATCCTACATAATAAAAGCCTAATATGCTAAGTGTCTGGTCGTCCATTCAACCAATCGAAGTGTAATATGCTAATGATGTTACAGCTGCTCAACTGCTCGCTATGATGTGCACTGACCACCAGGGGGCAGATGCTCCAACTAGTAGGTTAGCTTGCTGCTGGGGTCTGGCCAATTGGGACTGAGCGAGACAGGCCAGACATGCCCTGGAGCCCTCCTGAGGTCCCTCCCCAGCTGGCCAACCTTCTGTGTCCCTCCCTGGCCCCGATCGTCCCTCAGCCTGACCTGCACCCTCTCACAATCTGCAACCCCTCAGGGGATGTCAGAGAGCTGGTATTGGCCCTATCCCGCAGGCCAGGCCAAGGGACCCTACTGGTGCATGAATTCATGCACCGTGCCTCTAGTATATCATAATATTATATTATTATGCATTAAATAATATACTATTAACATTCCAGTTACATGAAGACTATCCCTCATTTAGATTAATCTGATGTTTTCTCATGCTTAGATTTAGATTATGTATCTTTGGCAAGAATACCATGGAAGCAATGGTGTGTTTTTGCAGCACATGTTTTCAATTTGTCCCATTGATGTGATATTAATTCTAATAACTAAGGTGGTGTATGCCAGGCTTCTCCATTATCAAGTTACTCTTCTCCCTTGTAATTAATAAGCATTTTGTGGGGATATACTTTGAGACTATGTGCATATCCTGCTCCTCATCAAACTTTCAATTTATTGACCTATTTATTTTTACTCTTTTATTCAGTGGATATAATCCATTAATGTCTTATTTATTTTGATGTCCACGCTGTCCCAGACAGGGCCAGTAGAGCTTCTACCATGCTGGCTTCTGTGTCTATGTCCCCACCATCCTTTGACCACTCCCTTCCTTTCTGTCAAAAGGAGATGTTTAGGTTCATCTTCTACTTGTCTTGACCCAGTATTGTTATTAGCCATTTCTCCAAAAATCTTTGGTTCCTTTTAGTGGAAAATAATTTTTAGGAACTAAGATCTGGGCGCCAAGTGTGTCTGGTGTTACTGTTGGGTCTTTGATTTCAGGCCCCTTAGTGGGCAGAGCTATATACACATACAGACACTTAAACACATACAGACACACACATACAGATCATATACATATACAGACACTCATATCATTATTCTTTTTGTGTGTCACAGCTGATTCTATAATTCATTTGAAAGAGGAAATATCTGATAAGAACATCTTGAAAATGAATAACAAATTGCCTTTCCAGATATCAAAACAGACAGTGGAGTTATAATAATTAAAATGGAAAGGTGTTGGCATAAAGAGTCAATGTAAGAGACTGTGGGGTGTAGGCGCAAACACGTATTTATGCAGATTTGTTCTGCTCAGTGGGGAAAGCGCGTATTGCTTAACGCTGTGGGAACAGCTGGCTCCCCATTGGGAAAGGTTAGTTCTTACCTCTCTCCCGTCACCGAAACAAATTTCAAATTAAAAAACAAGGAACAGTTTAGAAGAAACATTCGCTAAATATAAGGCAGATAAACTACTAATAGTTTAGAATACATTTATCAAGAGTTCCTACAAATCACTAAGAAAAAGACAAACAATGCAGTATAATAGTGAATAAAAAGTATGAATATGCAATTAATAAACCATGAAGTAGAAATGATCAATAAACATTTTAAAAGATGCTCAACTTCATTAAAAATCAGGAATATTTCTCTCTATTTCTCCCTCTCCCTTTTACTCTCTCTCAAAATCAATGGAAAAAATATTCTCAGGTGAAGATGAAGTAGAGGTGTATGTTCATAAAATGATATATCCCCAGGATATATCACTAAAGGAAAAGGAATTACAAAACCAATATGTAAAATATGGTCCCATTTATGTAAAAAAAAAATCTCACAAAACACGACTCTCCCTCCCTCTTACACCCCCTCCATATATTCTGGAAATGTATATCTAAAACTAATACCAGTGGTTACTTAAAGAGAAGGGGATTGATTTTTGAGGAAAGATAGAAGCAGAATCAAGGGAAAGTTCAATTTAAATGTTTTTTTGATTTTTTAAAATGATGATAATGTATTAATATATTACTGGGGTAATTAAAAATAAATTATAGCTCTAGCCAGTGTGGCTAAGTGGATAGAGCATTGGCCTATGGACTGAAGGGTACTGGGTTAGATTCTGGTCAAGGGCATGTACCTCGGTTGCAGACCCTGTCCCTAGTCAGGGTGTGTGCGGGAGGCAACCAATCGATGTGTCACTCTCACAATGATGTTTCTCTCTCTCTTTCTCTCTCCTTCCCTTCCACTCTCTAAATATCAACGGAAAAATATCCTTGGGTGAGGATGAACAAAAATAAATAAGATAAATTACAAAACCTATCATTTTAAAAAGAGAAATTATTTTAGGTTAAAAGAAATAATATATGCAAATCACATAGCACAGACCTGGCACACAATGCAATGCTAGCTATCATCTTATTTTTAGAAGTTTTTGACAAAATCTATTTCCCAGGATTCCAAGTTCCCGGCTTTATCATTAGTTTGCTCTGTGACTGTTCCCATTTCTGATTCCCAATTGCTCCTCTGCAAAATGAAAGGGTTGGACTAAAGTCTCTCTGAGCATTAAGACTCTGTGATTAGACACATTTTTCAAAAGTCCACCCAAATGAATTTTGTATTAGTTTTCTATTGCTGTGGAACAAGTGATTACAAATTAAGTGGCTTAAAACAACATCTATTTACTAACTCACCATTTCTGTGGGTCAGGAGTCCAGGCCCTTCACTGGGCCCTCTGCGCCTGTCTCCCCAGGCTGCTGTCACGGTGTGGCCTGGCTGTGCTTCCTCCTGGAGGCTTACCAACTCGGGGAGGACCCACTCCCACGCTCATTGGGGTTGTTGGCACCATTCATTTCCTGTGGCTGTATGACTGAGGACCCAGCTCCTTAAGGGACATCGGCTGGAGGCCACCCTCAGATCCCAGAGGCTGCCTGCACTTTCCTGCCACGTGGTCCTCTCGCCATGGGCAGTCCAACTCACCGAAGGGGCTCACACTCGCCATAGGCAGTTCACACATAGCTGTTTGCTTCTTTTTTTTTGTTTTTGTTTTTTTCTCTTTTTTTTCTGTTCACATGGAACCCTTCTCCACTTCGGCCTTCAAAGTTCTCGTTTGAATATTTGCTACTACCAAGATCTGCACCTGCGGCGGCTCCACCTGGGCCTGCGCCCTAGGCTTCAAGGCTCACCGCAGCGGCCCTCCTACTCGTTGCGGTGTAGCGTGGCGCAGGTGTGGGCCCGGCGCCGAAGAGCCCGGTTGCTCCCGTCCCCCTGTCTACGACCCACCGCCAGTGACGGCCGGGTATGGGCCTGACGCCATCCATTTTCAGGGCTAGTTGATTTGGCAGGTGAGTTGTTACACACTCCTTAGCGGATTCCGACTTCCATGGCCACCGTCCTGGCTGTTTGCTTCTTATAGGCCAGAATCTCTCTCCTACTCAAGTGCATGCTAGCAAGACAGGGTCACACACACACACAATCTTTATATATATATTTTATATTAGAGGTGCCGTGCATGAATTCATGCACCAGTGGGGTCCCTCGGCCTAGCCTGCGGGATCAGGCTGAAACTGGCTCTCTGACATCCGCCAAGGGGTCCCAGATTGCAAGAGAGCGCAGGCCAGGCCAAGGGACCCCACCAGTGCACGATCAGGGCCAGGGAGGGATGCGGGAGGTTGGCCAGCTGGGGAGGGACTGTGGGAGGGCTCCAGAGCATGTCCAGCCCATCTTGCTCAGTCCTGATTGGATTGATCCCAGCAGCAAGCTAACTTACTGGTCAGAACATCTGCCCCCTGGTGGTCAGTGGACATCATAGCAAGCAGTAGAGCAGCCTTAGCATATTATTAGCATATTACACTTTGATTGGTTGAATGGACTACTGGACGACCAGACACTTAGCATATTAGGCTTTTATTATATAGGATATAAAATTCGTGTGATTTGAATGTATATAAATTAAATATACAAATATATGTAAATTATACATATAAAATCACAGGAATGACTTCCTTTGCCTTTGTCATATAATGAAACCTAATGAAGGTAGTGACATTCCATCACCATTGCCATATTCTACTGGCTTGAAGCAAGTCACACATGCCTCCCACTCCTGCAATCTACAGGGCATAACACCAGGGAGTGGAGATCATGGGGACCACCTTAGAATTCTGCCTGTCTCAATATCTCTCTTAAATTGCAATTATTTAAAAAAAAAATCTTCTGTCTTTCCATTGATAAAATTATTCATACAGTGGAGTAGGGGGAAGGCAAAGGGGTTTATCAGGAAGGTAAACTTTCATTTTCAAAATGGAGTTCTGCAGCAAAGGTGACAAAGCTTTACTGCTAGAAATTTTATTTATGATTCAGAGCCTACTATATACACTAATTTTAAGTCGTCCCTTCAAGCCATAGAGCACTGAAAATGCATATTTAAAGAGCAGGTGAAATTGAATCACCTCTAGACAATTATTTTGAAGAATTAATTCTTGCCTGATAGTAAAAAAAAAAAAAATCAAGTCCATCATTTAGATTCCATTTCCCCCCATAATTTTTTGTACAATCATATTAAAAATTGAGCACTGGGTGATTGGCATGCTTGGAGGGCAAAGTTAAGATTAAAGAATCAAATAAAATGACTCCCTTTGAAATGTGTATTGAGGCTGAGATCATTTGCATGGAATTGTGTGAAGCAAGAAAGAGAGGAATTAACCTGATATGCGTCCAAAAATATGGCAATGTCAACCAAGGAGCAGGCCCAGAAAATAAAGATGGCTGGGAGTAAGAGGAAGGGAGAGCCGATCTTCACACAGAGGAGAGTTGTGTGTTTGGATCGAGTGGACGCCGCTGTGGCTATCAAGGCCTCCCTTGGGTGTCAGGTGTTGCATCTGCAGTGCTGAGATGTAAACTCGCACCCCGTCTGGACCGGCGGGCATCTTCCTTCCACCCCTAGACCACTGTGGCCTCTTTTCCAGAGGGAAACAAACAAATCTGCAGACGCTGTTCTAAAGTGGCCTAACGACGTGTTTGTGGGGGGAAAGGTTTGGCTGTTCTTCTTGGCCTCCTGGCAAATGAATGACTTGCCACAACAGTTAAAACAAATGTTTGTGTTAGGGAGCTGCTTCCCAGGCAAATAAACTTCTTCAGCAGAAGTAAACATGAAGGGTATTAGGACAGAGCAACATAAAGTCCTTCGCAGCCAATGCTGCCAGTGAAGCTGAAATGCAGTTATGTGTGCAAGTGTCCGGAAGCAGCTGACTTCAGGGTGGACTTTGTCCAACAGTGTTTCAAAAAAGAGTGTTTTTTAGAATTAGATGTCATCATTAATAACAAGAAAATTTCATATAATGTATGGATTCCTAGCTTTTCCTGAAAAAAAAAAAAAGGCGGGGAGGGGAGCATCTGTCAACCCTAGGCTTATATTCCTGCCTAACTGACATCAACTGATACTGAATGGTGGTTATTCTCTCCAGCTCACCGCTCCCTATTGCTTCACACTTGAACTTCCATATTCATTTATCTTTATTCCCTGGTCCCTGTAGGAATTCGCATTTACAGCCCTTGATTGGAGGCATAGCTAAGCTTTCCAACTTGGAGAACATCAAGTCTAACTCTGATCTGACAAGAGGCAATCAGTTAGGTAGAGACTAAAATGAACTAGATCCCAGTCTCCTGACTCCTCCCACCAGATTTATTGAGATGCTATTAACATATAACTCTGTGTACGTTTAAGATGTGCATGGTGTTGATTGATACACCTCTATATTACAATATGATTATTAGCTAACACCTCCCTCACGTCATGTAATTGCCATTTCTTTTTGTGGTGAGAACATGTAAGATTTACTCTCTTAGCAACTTCCAAGCATAATGCGGTATTGTTAACTGTAATCACAATACTGGGCATTAGATCCCCAGAAATTATTCATCTTCTAGCTGGCAATTTGTGCTCTTTGGCTTCTCTTTCTGCTGTGGCCCTGCTTCCCTTGCTCCACTTTCCTCACTGGAGAGTTCAGAATCTCTAAGTTTCCTTCCAACCACATGATTAAAATGTTTTATTGAACCTTCTTCTTCCTCTTCTTCTTCTTTTTCCTTTTCTCTTCCTTCTCCCCCTCCTCCTCCTCCTCCTCCTCCTCCTCCTCCTCCTTTGAGAAACTTTAATTGCTTAGCATCTGTTTAAGCAGAAAGTCCGCTCTGAGGCTCCTCAGTGACCTCTCATTGGAATTCATGACGTAGGGCAGTGTCACCGATGCGTACTAGACCAGGTCATCCATGGGATCTAGAAGACAATATATGACCTTCTAGTTCTAATATATCATTTTAATCTAAAATAATAAGAAAGACATTCAGCTTTACTAACACTTAATATTCCAGTTGGCAGTGGGGCCCCCTCTGGCTGTGTTAATAGTCTTGGATCTGGATGTCTCAGACATGCTCAGGATTGGTGCTCTCCTAGCTAGAGACCAGGGTGTCAGCCTACTCGGTGCGTGGTGGACTGGCGTGGATCTGAAAGTCTAGACCAGTGGTCGGCGAACTCATTAGTCAACAGAGCCAAATATCAACAGTACAATGATTGACATTTCTTTTGAGGGCCAAATTTTTTAAACTTAAACTATATAGGTAGGTACATTGTTATTAACTTAATTAGGGTACTCCTAAGGCTTAGGAAGAGCCACACTCAAGGGGCCAAAGAGCCGCATGTGGTTTGCGAGCCGCAGTTTGCCGACCATCGGCTAGACTGACCAAAATGAGGTGATTCTCTTTTGGGGACTGGGAGAGAGAAAATTCTCAGTTCTGCCCCAAGTCTGAAAACCCATTTCAAAGGCCGCTCTTATGATTTCTACTGTCATCGTGAAATTCTTTCCAAAAAATGTGTGACGAGGGGTGATGAATAGTGTCTGAGAATGGAGAGGGCATATACATCATTTCTAAGGAGCATCTGTGAATCTCTAAGGAGCAGAAGTTAACTGACTAACCATCAACACATCACAAGTGTGTTGCTCCCCAGGCCTTGGCACTGGAAAACTCCAGCATAAATCCTGGTGCGCTGTCTTTCGCAGGCCAGCAGCTGCCTAGAGACCTCTCGAAATAAGAACCCAAGTTAGAGTTTGCCCGACACTTTAATGGGAAGAGAGGAGCCTCATCAAATGGCCTTCGGAAGTGGCTGCCCATCTAGACGAGGTAGCTGAGTGAGACCAGTTTGGCCCGATTAACTGTCCCTATCAATTTTCGGGACAGTTATACCCAACGGAGGCCCAATTACCATATAGCTGAATATCAAAATGTTAAAACATGTTCTAGCCTCCTACTTTTACAAATACACCTTCATGATGACCTGGAGAGCCAGGCTTAGGATTCTTGGGCTTCTCCATGTTCTGGCTGGAATGTCACCCAGCCCACAACCCATTTCCCCTTTCTTTCTATCTCCAGCTCCGTCTCACTACGAGGGGCTCTGTGCATGTGCGTTTGCATGTGCCGGCCTGAATGTCCAAGCTCTGCTCGCTCCCTTGGCCTTCCTGGGGCTGCAGGGTGTGTAACTTGCTGATGCAATCTGCTCGTGGGAGTCAGCCCTGGGGAAGAAGCTCACACAGCCCTGGAAGGAAATTCCAGGACCCCAGGGTGCATGTTCTGGGAGACTGAGGGTGGACTGTGGTGTGTAGGCCCCTTAGCCTTGCTGACTCTGCCTCCATGAGGAGGGAACAGCAGAGAAAGACCAGATGGGGACTTTGCGGCCACTCCACTTTTAATTGACCCAACCCTTCCCAATGGCAATGGACAAGTGGCCAAGGAGATTCCTTGGGGAGAAGACGATGTGAGTAATGCAAGCACGGGAAGAGGGCAGAGTTCACATTCCTCCCACTCCAGGCCCTTGGTTAGCCACACACTTATTCCGGGCCTTCGGGGTAAAGGTGCCACTTGAAAAATGAGAGAGAAAAGGATTGCTTTTGAAAAGAAGACTGGACTATGGAGAGAGCAATGTGAAAAGAGATGTTTGGAGTGCTCTTGTTAAGGGATTGCTGTTGACATATTTACACTATTGAAAATTATGTAAATTACCTATAGACATGCTCAACACTGTACATAATTGAAAGGCCTGGAAACAGGATTTTCTGCTATAATTTAAAACATCCCAACCTAGTACTTCTGCGGATTTTAAACTCTTATGTTAAAAGTGTAAAGATTCAACACTTTCAATTCATTTTCAAGAAGAGTAGCTTAATCTCAAGGAAGAGAGAAATAATCAAACAAATTTCAACAAAAACCTTTGAAAAATTGGTATATGGAATTGGAAGGTGGAAATCATTTTTAAAAAATAACTACAGCAAATGATACCCTTCTTCCAGTTGGAAGACATATCTTTATGAGGTTACTTTTTTATTTATGACAGCCATTAAAATCAAATG